CATAACTCTCTCTCCCTCCCTTGCTCTATCTCTTTTTCTTCTCTGCGTCAGCCAATCAAAGAGAAGCCCAGAGGAACAGAGCTTTCCAAATAAACAGGAAAATGGCATCCGTAAGAGGAAGGCGAACGGATATTTTATCAAATGTCACCCATTTCTATTAAAGCCTTCTCGCATACTGAGCAGCTGGAGTCAGTCAGAGTTTCTTCTGCTTCTATCAGTCTGCCCTGTGAATCCTGACCGCGACCTGTAGCTTGCCAGAGTGCAACTCCAACCATTTAAAATGTTGCATGGTCAGTGGAACAGAATAAAATGCATGTTACAATAACTACCGCAATTAGTGCCACAAAAATGGTAATTAGTTCTGTTACTTCATGCTTCCTTATATCCTTATAGTTCATTTTTTATCATTATGCATTGGAAAATAAAGTTTTGTTCCCCTTCTGATTAAATTTTCATTGATCGTTCAAGGATAGGAAAAAATATATATAATATTTATGTGATAATACTTCTGTTTTAACCTCCATAATCCACAGGTAAGGAGTAAACACTGATGAATCACTTGCTGGGAATTGTGTGTAAAAAGCAGAGTGTATGGATAATGAGACTGGGTCATTAACATTTAAGACTAAAAGGACTAGTTTCATATCATATGACAAGAAAGGAATCACCCATGCAACTATAACGGCTTATTCTGGTCATGGGTACAGGTGCCTGTCCCAGGCGATAAGTGGCAGCGCAAATGAGGTGACCGCCCATCGCAGGAATTTAGGGACGACAATTAGCCAGACTGCAGATCTTTGGAACTTAGGAGGAGACTCACACGACACGGGAGGAGCTCGCAAACCGGGGGAGCGTGGGTGGGGGGACGAGGAGTCAAAATCTCAGCCCTGAAGGCGGGAGGCAAACAAAAATATTTCTGTTTTGTCGCATACAAACAAGCGCAGCCAGTGCAATGATGTGGTGGTTAGCGCTGTTACCTCAGCTCTGGGCGTGGGGTTCAAGTCCAGCTCCTGGAGGAGCTTACATGTTCTCCCTGGGTCTCTCCCACCCCCATTTGATTTAATCAGATTGCCTTTAGGTGTGAATGGTGTGCCCATCCTGCATCATTCCCTGTGAACAGGCCCTACCCTCTGTGGCATAGCATGCCACAAGCAAAGTAGTGCATGACATAATCATGTTTTTGGAAAGATTCTTGAAATCATTCTTCCTTCCCCCTCTCCTCATATCAGCTGTGCACTAAACCACCAGCCCGGGTCATTATACACACCTTCCTTGATACGTGAATCTACAATGTGACTCGCATCTGTGCAGACTGGATTATTTGCTTCACCTACAACAAACCTGCAACCTTCGCCAACAAAGAGATCTTCCCAGTGTCTCTTGGGATGCCGTGCGATTTGTTCAGCCCCCCCCCCCACCCCATTAATGGCCCATGCGGCTGGTAGCAAACTCCCCAAAAATCCCAAAAACCACAGCCCGTGCGCAGGAAGCTGTCGATTCATATTCCAGTCAGGACAGTCTCGCACGGCACTGCTTCATGGAAGATACAGCAATTATAATCAGGTTTAACTAACATGTTGAGCAAGATAAAACACACCCTGGCTTACTAAGGGGAAAAAAATGATTTAAGGAAACCATAATGCCAGAAGAGAGATGTAAACTGACTAGCAGGAGCAGAATGTAAACATTAATCTCCATGCCTTGTGACATGACTGTGTGTGGCAGGGCGATCTCCTCGATGTATTGCAAACGGTTGGGCAACTGTGTTAGTCACACGGAAAAAGGGGAGAGGAGATGCTTAATCTATGGAGCACAATAAATCAGAAACCCGTCTGGGCACCAAGAACATTGTGTGCTCGTAAAAGTCCATCTCTGCGGCTAAACAATCGAATGGTATAATTCTCCCGCCCAACAATGAGTAAACAATGAGTAGCTTTGTCATGGTTTCCGATGAGTAGGCCCTGAGTAGCAAGGTCTGATTGACAATAGAGTTGGGGCTACATGACTAAAGGAGTTCTACAGCTGAACATTAATCATTAATTAATTAATATTAATCCAGTACTGATCCTCTGGGTTGAAGAGAATAAACATAAATTTAAAATAAGAGCATCATCTTGAATGAGAAGATGAGCTTTCGCTTAAATTCATACCAGAAACAAAACCAAAAGCTGCAAAATATGGAAGGAATGGTCTTACTGTAAAGAGATATGGTTCTTCCATGTGGGTGTGTCGCATTTGTCTGTGAGTCGTCGTGACTGTAAGTGTTTGCATGCTATTTGCAAGCTTCTATCTATTTGTTTCTCAAAGTAAACACGCACATGCCCCGCCCATTACCTCATACCTTTCTGCTTGCGCTTTGTATCTATTTCAGGTGCCTCCCCATTGAAGAGATGAGACACACGTCCCGTCAGGTTACACTGCTCTGGCGTACAGGGCATGACAGTCTATCGCTGTGTCTCCGTACTGGACTCCGCGCTGAAGTTCGCTGGCGAGCTCACCCTCAAACACCAAGGCAGGTAAGATAGCTTTGTGTTTTAGCTAATAGCGCACTAAGCAACAGCTGTGTCTTGGTGGAGTGCATATACTGCCTTTGATGTATGCTTCTAGCTTCAGGATGTCTCAATACTTATGGAACCCAAAATATGAGAGCAGTAGGTTTTAACAAGGGTGTTGGTTTGGTTTCAACACTGATTGAGACCAAATCAGCCCCGAACCCTCTGCCTTCCTAAACACACACGGTACTCCCGCAATATCGGTAAGGACATGTCCCCACTCCCCATGCCCAAATCTACACCCTGGGGCTTTTAGGCTTGTGAGGTATTTTGAGAGTTGTCTTTTTTGACCATTTGGATACCTTTGGCAAGCAGTATTGACTGTGCCGACAGCTCATCATATTTTCGGAAGTCAGAGGAGCAATAAAATGCTTTGAAGCCCCTGGGCTATTTTATTTGTCAGACCGACCCCCCCCCCCTCCCCCTCGCGAATGTGCCTTGACGATGTCGCTGGTGACCAGGGTAGGGGACTGGCAACAGTAAAAGTTGTCAAATGGGGATTTAGCCCGGGTTAGCCCATGCTTTAAAGACAAGACAGGTTTATTTATTTAGCACATTTTCACATTAAATAAGATCAAGTTATAGCAATTGTTAATGTTTTTAGCCTGATTTTAAAGGTGGCGACATTTGGTGCATTTCTGATCTCCTCGGGGAGTAGCTTCCAGCTATGAGCAGCAGAACAGCTGAATGTCCTTTGGCCTTACTTACTTACTTACTTACTTACTTACTTACTTACTTTTCAGTCTTGACACTATTAGTTGACGAGATCCTAATCATCTTAGTGGTACTGCTGTCAGAAATAAATCAAAGAGGTTTATGGGTGGGAAGTTTCAAGTATGTCATCTATAGAAGACATACCAGAATAAAACCCGAGAAATACAGAGGAGAGGTTAGGCATGTACATAACAAGGATGTAATACGATTGACCTTTAAGTAAATATCATATGTACATAGAAACTCTGTACATCATGCATAGTCAGACAGGTTTTCATCAACCTTTTAATTTAGGAAGTTGAACATCTCTGAAAGATTAATGGTTCTGGGTCTGAACAGGTGTTTGCAAATGTGTGAAAGAAGAGGAACAGACTAGAAGGTGAGCTGGAACCCTGTTTTCCTATCATGTTCCTGACCTCCTAAAAACCCATGTAACCACCTCACTTTCTGAAAGATCTCGGATCGTCGTGTGACCGATATGTTCAGTTTTTTTTTTCAGAATGATAAATTAGTGCCAACAGATGTAGCTATAGGTGTGAGTGTGCCCTGCGATGGGTTGACGCCCCATCCTGGGTTGTTCCCTGCCTTGCGCCTGTAGGCTCCAGGATAGGCTCCCAAACCTCCCGCGTTTTCAGAAAATGGATGGTGGATGAATGGACGTAGTTATAATCTCTACTGATGCCAATAGATGATAAAATAGATGTAAAAATAAGGAAATTAAGTAAAGAAGTAAAATATTTTAAAAAGTAAGTGAATGTTCCAAATAATCCTGAAATATTTACTATTTATTTTTATTGATGTTTTATATAGATCATGAGATAATGTAATAATTAATCATTCACAAAAGGCGTTCAGGTTCTTTCTGAAATTGCAAAAATGTTTGGCATGTGAACTATTTTCTACTGCTTGAAAGGTCTGGGGATGGTGACTTGGGGACATTCTTTTCCCTGGTTCAGGATCAGCTAATCGCCCCACCACCCCCCAGCCGCTGAGATGAACTGGACTTCCTTGTGGGGCCTCATCGGTGGGGTGACCCAGCACTCCACGGTGCTGGGTCGGGTCTGGTTCTCCCTGGTCCTCATCTTCCGGCTGCTGATCTTCGTGGTGGTGGCTCAGCAGGTGTGGAACGACGAGACCACCCAGTTCACCTGCAACACAGCTCAACCGGGCTGCCGTAACGTTTGCTACGACAGAATGTTCCCGGTTTCGCCGGCACGACTCTGGGCCCTGCAGCTCATCGCCATCATCTGCCCCTCACTCATGGTCTCCGCGCACATCAAGTACCGCCAGGAGAAGGACAAGCGGTTCTCAGCGGCCAACAGGGGGGTTCACCTGTACGCCAACCCCACCAAGAAACGCAGAGGCCTCTGGTGGACCTACCTGTTCAGCCTCTTCCTGAAGGCCGGCTTCGACATTGGCTTCCTGTACGTCTTCTTCCACATATACCGCTACAACATACCGCAACTCTACCCGTGTTCCCTGGAACCCTGCCCCAACACGGTAGATTGCTTCATCTCCAGGCCCACTGAGAAGAAGGTGTTCATCATCTTCATGGCGGTCTCCTCGGTCGTCTGCATCCTGCTGTGTCTCTGCGAGATTTGCTACCTAATGTGCCGCTGCTGCTGGAACTGGGAGCGCATCCTCAGCCGGAGGGCAGAGGGTCACGACCCCACAGTCACCGCAGAGACCCAGCTAGCCACTCAGCAGCAAGCCTCCGGCAAGCTGATCTTCCAGCACAATGACATCGTCACGGAGCATGATTCCAGCACCAGCAAAAAGCTGTAGGTATGGAGACTGACGCAAACTGCCCGTTCCTCCGTCAGTTACACACGGGGCTTAACCGGCCAGGCTAGCGAGGAAATGCCCAGGAAGCAAAGGACACCCACCAAGGTGGATGGGGTACCGGGACACACACACAATATTGGCAGCTAAATCTCACCAATAAGGTTAAATGTCTTTGGTTTGTGGGAGGAGCTTCACAAGAAAGCTTAATAGAATTCAAAGCCATATCCCCAGCAATGATGCCATTCACTGTGCCCCATCAATCTGGAATCTGAATTACAGTCACTGAATTACCGGGGGCTTGGAATGTTCATGGAAATGTTAAATAAAAATAACGGAACACTGGAATGCATCTTAGGGGAGACATTCAAACATTTGCATTCTTTGTAGTCATTGTATGTGGCTGGATAATCACAAGAGAAATTTCTCAACAGCTACAACAGCAAAATTAGCTGTTTTAATGACAGTTATTGCACAAGAGGAGACATGATTTGGTCATTCCTTTGGCACTCCCATGTCTGAGCATCATCTGGATATGTTTATGACAAACTTCAATTACTTTGTATATGTTTTGTATAATATATTTAATCAAAATGTTGAATAATAGAATAAAACAGGAATGAAAGCACATTTTAACATTGCTCTTTGTAATAATCATCTCCTTTTCAGAATTATTTGAATCCTGACCTACTTTAAGGGAGATATGACCTATGTAACTGTGAAAAATCAATAAGACCTTGAGTAGTAGCTAGTCTTGTCTACCTTCACTGGAAGGCCACAAATATTGATGTCATCAGCACCTGAAAACCATCCAGTACATATTTATTGCTTTGTAAAGAAAAAATGAACAACTCATATCTGTTTGTCTAGTTTCTTGTGTGAATACATGAGTGTTTGCAATGAGTTCAGCTGAGGTCTATCATAAACTAGGGGTGCACTCAGAAGCTATGTTCCTGAAACTTCCTTGTGCTTCCTTGTGTGAAGCAGCACCTCTCTTCAGTGCAAAATCGGTTCAATGGCTGCAAATTTCGCAGCACTGCTCCCTTGCCTTCCCCTGGGACTCTCAATTGCACAGAGCTGTCAGGTAGCCTAGTGAGGGCACGGCGCCCAAATCTTGACGGCTTTACTTCAGCGCTGAAGCTGACAGCTTGACTGGGGAAACGCGAGTCAGAGGCTGTTAGGGGGCAGCCTTCTGTAAAACATATAAGATGTGAATTTATGGAGGCAGCACACATGGCCCTCAGTCCCTGCCTCCAAAGAAACGCCACCCGCCCTCTCGAGAAGATGACGGAAGGAATGATTTGAGAGGAGGGAGACAGGCCTGAGCCTTTGGTGCAGATCTGAGTGAGAAAGTGATGATGGAGACGGGACCAGTAAGACAAGTACAGTGATGGTATGCATATCTTATTATGTGTGTGTGAGGCTGTCTCCCTGTAATCACCACGGCACGGGGTATGTCCAAAATTGCATACTTGTTTGCTATGTAGTAGGCAAAATATAGTATGCAAAGTGAGCAGTATGTCCGAATACTCAGTATGGATGAGACAATAGTTGAATGGTACCCGGATTACATGCTACATTATGCCAGATCCTCAGTATGGATGAGACAGTAGACGGACGGTACCCAGATGACATACTACATTCTGCCAGATACTCAGTATGGATGAGACAATAAGTGAATGGTACCCAGGTGACATACTTCATATATGGCGCAATTCCGAAGTGTGCAACCAATGGATGTTATGCTGTCCCACAAGGCCATGGGAACTGCACCCATATACGAAGAACGTTTAACAACAATATGGTGGAGGAAGTGCCATCTCTGTATAAATTTCAATAGAAAACAACAGCCAGTTACATAAGTCGATTAGAATATGTACTTTTGTTCATTGACAGTTTTTAACTTTCCCGGGGGCTAAAGCTTCATCATTCCTAATGCATGCATACTGTTTTCATGCAAACATACAATACTACAGGCACTAGGCTTCTAACACAATTCAAAGCTTACTCTGTTAGCATGCGATTTCGAATGCACCCGCAGAGTGGTTCTTAAACAGGGTAGTTATCACACCTGGGGGACAATATCCATCTGGGCTCTGGCCAAACAGATGGCAGCCCTCCCTCCTGACAGTGCTGGTCAGGTCGCCTGCCAGAACCTGACAGGTACACGCCGCCTGTCCAAAAAAACCACAGCAATGCCAGCATTTATCCCAGCGGCTCTTGCAGCTGTTGCCTTCCTTAAAAGCCATGGGGTAGTAGAAAAGTGGATAAGATTGTGAATAATCGTCAATTCCCTTATGGCTTAGACAGTGCATGGAGCTCAGTCACTCGGTTAGTCAGTGTGGAGTAGCAGCAGCCTGTATATTTACTAACCAAAGCATTGTGTATGAGAAATGACATCAAACTGAATGTAAATATATATCACATGTAGTGAGCAGCTGTGAAAACTAAGAGTTTGACAATGCAAACAAAAACAGATGGCACCCTTCTGTCAAATGCAGCGCTGAAACCTGACCAATAAGGCCCAGGTAAATATCGCATAATCTGTGGAGCCGGAGGAGCTCTTCTGTCACGTTGACCAGACGAGGCCGTGTGCAATTGCGTCTCCCAGCTGCACCTGTCTCGGCGACATTCCTTTTTAAAGGAATGTGGTCTGACTGTCCCTGAATCGAATCAGCTAGTCTGGGCTATGAGAGAAAAAGAAAAAAATAATAATTTTCAGAGAAATTGGATCTACTGGTTCTTCGAGTTGAACGCATGCCTGAATGGCTTTTATTTTGAAAACCCCCTCATTAAACCATGCTGTAGTTGGCTTAAAAACTTACAATCATTTATTTAGTATACAATACCCGAGTTCCCTCACCTTACTGTACTTCTGCTTCATTAAGTTATGAACTTGGTTCTTCCTCAATGCTGTAATTCCATAAATTAATTTCCTTAAAACCCTAAAACAAAAGACACAGACGTATACTATATGCAGTGCTAAATATAAATAAATCTGTGTCGAGAAAACCATACTTTATTCCCGAATCTCTATTGTTCCACATAGAAGCACTATAGAAGTTTAAAAGTGATAACAAGGTTCAAGACTGCATTTGTGTCAGCCTGTGTGTGCTTTTTGGTGATTACGGCAGAATCAGTTATTTTAAATAAATAATTAATAATTACTAATCATGATATTTTCCATTTATAAATTGGAGCCATTGTAGCATTCTTAACCAAAATAACTTTTAATGGCGATTAACTGTATTTACTTTGATAACTGTTAATTTGTGAATTTCCTCGATTTTTTGTTTTTCCAGCGGCAGTGCAAAACTCGCGTACTTTCAAACTAATAAGAATAATGAAATCGAAAAAATAAAACAATAAAAAACGCTATTAAATAGTAGATTTATTTTTTTTAAGTTAAATTACCAGAAAACAACACGCTACTGCTATACGATGTAGCCTATCTGAGGGAAAGGTGTATACAGTCGAGAGCTCGAAACGCGTGCTGATGACTTTTTTGTCCAACTCACTACCCCGTAAATTTCGTTTCATCAAACTGACAAATCGTTCAGCCATTGGCGAGTTTTTCATGGCCATTGCGTAACAGGAACTAAACTAATCAGTGTGCTTGGGGGCGGGCATTCTAAAGGCGGAAGTGTGGTTTGTCTTGCTGTAAGCGTAAAGGTGAGTGAGTTTTTGAGCCGCTGGAAAGTGGCTGGTATATACGATTCTGTCTTTTTATATGTGACCTATGGTCAACGCCATGACATGACTTCTGTTTTGTAATGCTTGCAAAGCGTGTTAAAGAACAATTAAACACCCTAAAGTATAAAAGACGTGCACTTCGACTGTCGTTCACATACCTATGCATTCCCATTAGTTTAGTTGTCATGGTTTTGCATGGGGTTTTTTAGATATGTAGCACAGTAGTTACTCCTGTGGTAATAAAAATTAATAAGTTATAGCATTAAGCTTTAACTATGCATTCAGATGTGGAAGGTGGTGTTTCCTCGAAGTAGCTATGCTTGATTTGACAAATGGCTGCGTACTTTCCGGTGAAGTTTAACGGACGTTATGCTGTATATTATAGTTGTCATGTTTATTGTGTTTTGTATGGAAAATGAACGAAGCATCGTTAACATAAACTGCGTATTTGTTTATTTAATTACTTTGCAGTTGTGGTCCAGCGTGCAGATATGTGGCCAGTGTTGTGGACCGCCATGCGAACGTACGCCCCCTACGTAACCTTCCCAGTAGCCTTTGTGGTGGGGGCTGTGGGTTATAATTTAGAGTGGTTCATTCGGGGCACCCCGGCTCGGCAGCAAGAGGAGAGGGGGATCCTGGAGCAGAGGGAGGACCGCAAACTGGAGGAGCTTGTGGGGCAGGACGTCACTCAGGTCACCAGCCTGAAGGAGAGGCTGGAGTTCACGCCGAGGGCGGTACTGAACCGAAACCGCCCAGAGAAAAGCTAAAGGTGCCTGCCATGTAGAGCCACGCGAAGGGGTTAATGTCACCTATCGTTATGCCTGTTGCCTAACAAAGGACTGTTGTTAGGCATATTGTTCATTTGTTCTACAAGTTTAATCTCTGATGCCTAATTGAGGAGGAATGTTGGCTGGACTTCTTTTTGTGTCAAAGTATTATGTGTATTTTTCATGACAGTCTGAAAGTCGCAAGTCATGAAATGGATATCGTAACATCTGAGACATTTTCCCTCAGTTAATGTTCAGAAAAGGTTCGTATGAGACCTGCAGACTATTGTTTTTCCCTTAGATTCGTAGTATCAATTTCCTGTTGCACATGATCAGTGAACTACAGCAAAGCTGGAGCACGTCGAGATTTCAGTTGCTATTTTCCTGTGCTTCTCTCCCAAAGACAAAGCTGACAGCATGCATTCAAAAGAAGAGCAAGCAGCCCGCAAGAGACTAACCCGCCAGCGTCATAAGGGCAGAGCCTGGGGAATGTGTGACGTGCGTGACGTGTGTGCGCGGTCTGTCTCAGGAGGTCTCGGGAATGTATGCTATATTTTTTTTTAATGTACCCTGCCACATTTCTGTTCTTTCACTCATCCTTTGCATATTTATTTTTCACCCAGAAGAAAAGCCACAAGCAACTCACTGTGAATTTTTGCTTTCATTTTAGAAAGTACACAGCTTACAGGAGTCCGTTAATTGCTGGAGCGTTGAAAAGTACTGAAAATGGAGTCAAATTATGTATTAATTGTGTCGGATCCATTTTACTTGCTGCTGTGTTATTGTGGATCTTTAATATGCTGTTTTGAGTCAAGAATTTGAAGTAAAATGGTAATAAATATACTATTAATTTTAAGAGCTCCTATAGTGAGTTACGTTATTGATTCTAATTGTTACCTGGTTATTATACAATGTAATATATTACAAGTATTATGTAGTGGCCTTGTAAGACCCTGAATACTACAAGTTTATAAGTACAAAAACACTAAAAAGTTGTGAAATGAGCAATTCAACAATTAGGATTAAATTATATATGCTCAATAATTTTAAACATAATACTTATTCGGGTCATTGTTATTGATGTTTTGCAATTTAGCCGCATTGAGTTAAGATGGAGCATGAATACCATACGTGTCGCGGTTCCTGTGATAACGACACAGCTGGGCCTTCCCCTGTGAAGCAGAAGGTGGCACCAGCATGGCTGCTTTGACTCTGGTGAGATCCCCCCCCCCCCCCCCAAAAAAAAAAAAAAAAATGTTTGCAGGATGCGGATCATTATAGATCTAACTTTTTTGTAAAACCAGTTCCAGGATAAGTGTTGTGTTTTGAGGGTTTTTTTGTCGTCATCTGGCTCGAGCATTTAGGCCAAAATCTTGGGAAATAAGTGGGAGGGCGCCTTACTGGCTGAACTTCATTAGCTGTACGCTGTTACCTCACACCAAAGACTGGCCTTCAGCTACTTACTGCTTTTCTGCCACAAGGCTAAAAATGGACAGACAAAAGATTGATGATAACGTGCACATGCTCTGATGAAGTCGCACTGGGATGTATATCAGGAGTAGAAATGTTTTATTCGTCTCAGTGGGAGTGGTATACAAATTAAATGCAGGCAGCCACTTCAGCACAAGCTATACATATGTTCTGTATCTATATCTTATTAATTAATGACAGTTTATTGATTCCCTTGGGGAAAAAAATCTCTTTTTGCCTACCCCATCTTGCTCTTCATGATACGTGTCACATGTATAGGTGACAGCGAGCTTGGCAGCAAAGGGGAGCCACCTGCAGGAGCTGGGGGTTAAGGGTCACGCTCAAGGACCCACACACATGACAATTCTGCTGGTACTGGGCTCAAACCAGTGACCGTCCGATCACAGGCATGGGGGCGTTTCCTGCTGGGCCGCATGCTGCCCCCTATGAAGTTGCAGTAGAAGATGCAAGTGGGTTGAGTCAGTGTCCTAATCACCCTGAGATGCTGTATGTTTTCTTGGCAGCACTGTGAACCTTGTTATGAGGGCTGCGTCACTTTTGATGGAACAAAATGGCAGTCAGTCTAAACGCATGGAGGAGCAGCCTGCTGTTGTGGTCCATATTTGGATGGTACCATCCTTTCCAAGAAGGGCAGGGAGGGCCTGGATATCAGGATCACTGGGGAGAGGTGGTTGGGAGTGAGATAAATTATTGCTTTGACATTTGTAATTTTCATCCTGAACGCAAATAAGCCAGAACAATTATTCAGTCTTGGTCTATTTGGTAAATTGCACCAGCAATCATCTAATTTTCTGTGGAATTGCACACATTTCTGCAATTCTTAACATGCATTGTATGTCTGGTGCACGGTGGTGGTAAATGCTGAGTAGCCTTCTTGGTATCATTTGATACATTTTTTTCCCCCAGTTAACATTACTTTGCCACAATAGACAGATACTGTTCTTCTTTCCCTTTCGAATATTTAAAACCTTTTTCACAGAAGCAATTTTGACATTATTGACACATTCCCCAAGCTACCCTCAGATTTAAATAATGAAATTGCAGACACCATAAGTTTTTTTTAAATCCTGAGCACAATTCATAATAGAAGAAGCCGCTGTACAATCTTCTCCATATTTCTATCCAGCTTCTAGCTGCTTATCTTGCACAGAGTCATAGGTTCCTGTTGCAGGCAGCTAAGGACTAACCACATGTCTATGGTAGGAGACCCATGCAAAGTCTGCTGGCACAGAATAGAGCTGCCGTTCCACCCTCATCTCTCTAAAGTCCCACATTTTTATTTATTTTATAAGAAGTGTGGATGAGTAGCATTTAAAAAAATGATAAATGTTCAAGTTATTTTTTGTCAGGGCTTTGTAATTTCCGCAATGATTGCATCGGTAAATCTGAGCAGTAGAATTTGTTCTTTTTTTGCGTGATGTGATGTGATCTAATCTTAGGAATGTGTTTACCTAAGTCGTCATGAGTGCATCCATCCATGTTTCATAATGGCTTATCCTGTTCCCTGTCCCAGGAGACACAGGCGGGGGTGCACTTTAGATGGGACGCTAGTGTGACAAAGGGTGCACACAGAGTTTGGGAAATTTAGGAATGCCATTTTCTGTCTCCTCACACATTGAACCATGGGAAGGAATTGAATTCACAACCCTGGTGGAGTGAACAAGGTTAGACTATAGCATGTGCTGACCGAGCGCTCTGTCGTAAGGGGCCCCAAAGTTTCTTTTGGTTGATACAGTGGCACATAAGGGTGTAGGTAGGGCCCAAACAGTGACTTTAGCCCAGAAGCACTGTAATGGAAGGTGGTGGGGTTTGGAGGGGAAAAAATTTGTAACATAATTGGATTGGTCTGGGTTTGGGGCCCAAAATGATATGCTTTCATGGGCCCCAAAATCTCTAGGTCCCCCCCCCACCCCATGCTTCCACCCCCCTAAATCTGTGAGGCTGCATCACTAAGAAGGGAGCTGCTGCACCCCATTATGCATTTAAGAGAGCCTTAATGACATTTCTGAATTCTATTACAGTGAAAGAAAACAATGAAGTAGGTCACAGTGGATGAAAAAAACCATTAGCCTAGAATTTTAACTTCTGCCGTTGAAGTTTAAATAGTAACCTCCTTGTGCTGCCTGATTTAACAAAATAAAAAGAATAATGCAAGAAAGCTTTAGAAATAACAGGATCTGATTTATTTTAGCAAAATAATCTATGAATTGCTGAATGCTTACGAATTGCCTCAAAGGATGTTTAGGATTTGATGAAAAGAGCAAGTTTATAGGTAAAACTGGTCGCTTGGTGTTTAATCGTCAACACTCTCCAGAGGGTGAAACTACAAATATACTTCCCACCCCATAAAACCTGTTTTCTGAGCTCCTGCCTGCTGTCAGTAAGGCAGATGCCTCTATCTAAACTGTAGAGTCGGGCACGCTGCCTGACGCCTGGGCTGTGACCTCAGCCAGGCCCGAAATGGTTTTGTGGTATGAATGTATGACACAGAGCCTCGGAGCAATTTAATAGCGATAACAGGGTGAAATATATGTGTGCAAGAGACAGAAAGATGAATAATGTAGTTGACCACAATGGTTGACATGAATAATGATAACGACTCCATATCTGAATGGAAAGAAACCCTTAATCCCACAGGACTGGATGTGTCCCAAACCCCAGATCGGAAACAGATTTCAGGATCCTGACTCCCGTTTACTTGCTTTCACAGCATTGGATCAGTCCTTCTCTTTTCATGTGTCTCTATGAAGGCCAATAAACTGATGAGTGCTTCTCAATACCAAGAAAGCAAAGACTGTACTTGTGGTCTTGGCCCAAGAACAAACTTGGGGCGCAACGAATCATGGGATTGGTCTCGTTTGGCAAGGATGCAACTGATGGATCCTTGATATTTGGAGCGGAGCAAGAATGACATTCAGGGATTTTTACTGTCCTCTGTACTTCTGTTCTCAGTATAGGAACTGGTCTTTGGCAATGGAGGACGACGTAAAACGGGTACATGAGAACACAAGTACGGTCAAGTGCATATATCGATAAACACCCAGTCCTGTAGATCTCTAATGAAAGCCTCCAGCACTATGGCCTCCATCACCAGCTGAATTATGGAAGATTTATTGGTGTCGCATTAATCATTTTTGCAGACGCTTGTATTTACAGTCCGTCCCTGGAGTGTTAGGCTTAGCAGCCTTCCTTATGGGCACAGCTGTGATGTGATTTGCACAGACTGCTGTATTCACCACCTACCTTGCATTTATGTCTCTCTGTTGTGTATTTTGCGTCTCGTATTTATTCTCTGTCTGTGTTAAGCCCTAATTGTTAGTTGTTGATGGTCATGGCATCTCTAACTGTAGGGAAATTTTCGTTGGGTTCTGTCGTGTGGCGATGCTGATTTCGACGATCATGCCGCCGGCCAGGGGTTTTGAACCAGTGACTAACTGGTCACAGGGTCCTAACCCTCAGAGCCACAAATCCACAGATTTGGACCGCAGAGTCTTAACTCCGCCATAAATCGGCACTCCAGGTCATCACGGAAATTTCCCGTATGTCTCGCTGTAGGCTGGGTGGAATTCCATCGTCCCAGGTCACCAAGGCAGCGGGGGTAGATGTGTCCATGTAGCGGCTGGCAGGATGTTGGCCAGGCTTACGCACAATGAGAAATGTCCCATTCAGTCCGCTATCTCGCAGCGTCCCAGGACAGAGGGTGGGGACCGGCAGCACATCCCCCGTCCTCGAATCTTCCTGTTTCACACGGTCAGGGGTCTGCTGCTCCCACAGTCCACTAACAGTGTCCTCCTTTGAACCGAGGTCATACTGGCCCAAGCCCCGCCCCCTCCCTGACCCACAGCCTCTTCTGAAGAAACACACAAGCTATAAACATAAACACACTCAGGGTGATACACTTAGGATGATATGTTGCGATGAATGTGAGGTAGGGCACACACACACACAGACAAAAGCAATTACACAAAGACTACTCACATGCTACACAGACAGTACACACTCTGTCACGCCAAAGTCAGGCCTTCTCAGCCAAGCGCAGATACAATCCTGTCCACACTAATAAGTGAACACAAAACTATTCAGAACATTATATAGCAACCCATGCACAACACAATACAGCAACACTATTACACTCATAATGACGGTTCAGTCAATGATGGATCACACATACGACGGTGATCCCCTACGATTACACTCTAATCAAGCTGAAAGTTCCTATTGCCAAGTAATGTCGGAGCGCAATGCCTTACTCACATGTTTAGGGTGATCCTGCTGTAAACAAGCTCACTGCACTTCCGGTCATACAGAAGTATAGCACATACCATTATGTACAGTACATAATACTTGATAATGATAATAAACAACTATGTTACAAGCCCCTTAACCTCTTAAAATGCTTCAAGGGTGCCCAATAAATGCCTGACCCTGTGCTTGAACCTATAGCTTATATATAATTTGTTAATATATATGTTTGTCTCAAAGTATGATGGGATATGGGAACAAAGGCATCCCAATACACATGTGCTAATGGCAAAGCATTGTATCCTAATGAAGTCCTACAAAGATCAAAGTGGTCATGCAGGCTTCCTTTCTTGGGTTTTGAGGTCAGTATGGAGGTGAAATCCCTTTGCCCGACTTTGCCATTTGTAGCAGCATGTCCAGTGTATTGGAAAATATGGCATATCGAAACAATAAAAGCAATTCCCAGCACAGGGCTATTGTCTGGCTGAACAATCCTTGCAGGTTTATCTGTTGGGGCAACAATGAAGAGCGGGAAAACTCAAAGGCAGTGAACTTCCTCCCTAGCATGTGGGACGAGTTCCCAATATGGGCCTGGGAATGAACAGAAAGCCGTGCTTTCATTCTTATGCTCACACGTTTAATGTTAGTGTGCAGGAGACACCAAACGGTATGTACTGCGCATCACCATGATTAGTGCACTTTTCAGGAACCCATTAAATAAACACAACATCAACAATGCAAAGGGCTGACCCTCACTGAAGAATAACCAGGCAACATGCTGATGTTATTTTTAGCCCAATCCCCTCCTCCCTCTCACGTCATGTGACTGTGGGCTCCGGTGCCCGTTATGGCTTCAGAGAGGGAAGTGGCTTTCTTCGGTTCAGCTGGTGCACAGTCTCCGACAGTTCTGGGCAGCCAAGTTTGGCACAGGTGACGCGTGGCCCGAGGCATCCCGGTGGCTTTGCATGCTGGGATGCCTCCTGCACTCCGGCATGGGTTCCTGTCTCTGCTGAGTGACACGAGAGTGGGGAGGGACAAGGGGGGTTGGAGGGGGCAGGAACAATGCCAGGATGCAGGAAACAGTGAGAGGGGCTCCAGCAGATCTCAGCTGAGCACTTTGCTTTCTAGCAGCTAGGGGAAAGCCCAGAAAATGGCTGGGTGATGCAAACGGCGTGGAGAAGGGTGAGGTCGGCTCAGTCCAGACAGTACAGTCAGGTGCACATGGGATACCTCCACGAGTGGCATCATGACTCATTTAAATTCTCATTAAGAGCAATAATGACAGTCAATCAAATGTAATCACGCGTATTTTCATGAGTACGTATGACATAAAGCCATGGGAGAGAGGTCCATCAACGATAGATTGCAGGTGATGTTGGAAATGAGTTTGGGTTAGGGGTCATCGTCAGGATGACACCTGGCACGAGGATGTGGATGAGCAGGCCGCGACGGGCTTGGGGGGTCACACAGCTCTGGCATTCCTTATTCGCTCATGCTGCAGTTCGGCACAAAGCAACAGCAGGGTTTTCATTTGGTTGGCGGGGGGTGGGGGGCTGGCCAGCATTCCTGAGTGATCCCTGGGCATGGCGGCCATTGGCAGCAAAGGGGCGGGGGGTGCTTCCATGGAGTGTTTGGTGACCCCACTGTACCAGCTGTAGGAAAAGAAAAAAAAACATTGAAAAGGCATGTGGTTTCAGTTAGCTGCTCCACAAACACGGGCAAATACAGCTCCACACAGATAGCGGGTGTAATCTCTGCCCTTGGTGAAAAGCTAAACGAGGAATGCCACACTCGTGTTTTTTATTTAAGACCGAGAGGCCAGAAAGTAAAATCCGCACTAACTCGTCCCACCTAGGGCCATTTCCTGCTGGAGAGAAGCGCTTATCTGGGAATGGCTGGAAATGACCGGACTGGAAAGGGCAGCGTAAGAACAGAACAGACGTGTGCATGTGACAGAATGAAGCAAAAGTGAAATCACGGAGTTGCAGTGGTGGATTTCAGCATTTCTACCAATAACAGTCGTGCCAAGTGGAAAAGTGACTCAATGCCAAAACCCAGTGGAGTCCTTGGTCACTGCCCTGTGTGTCCCATGACACTCTGTCATACATATACAGTAAATAGCTGCTTTAAAAAAATCTCATATCTAAACTGTCTCATTAGCTTCCTTGTAGTTTTAACTAGTATAATTGCTTGAGGACAGGCTGAGTCGAGCAGATTCTTGTATATAAATAGGGGCATCTGTGGGAAAATTTCTCTGGAAAATAAAAGAGAAAATTGCTATTTCTGTTTAACATCCCAATAGACCAGCTGCTCCCTTTGCATGGGGTCATTGAAACTTGTGGTTTTTCCCAAGTGTTGCTAATGTTTTTTTTATCAACTTCCTTCAGCATAGGAGCTTGTTATTTTTTTTTTAAAGTAATCATTTTTAAAAGGATCATATTAAACCTTAAATTTGGACTGTGTCAGTTCCAAGCACGTTTTTCAGAAGACTCAGGGCACTGGAAAAGATCATACTGCTTGGAATGGTTGAAGGTGAATGAGGATGACTGTCAACAAGGTTGGTGGACTCAATCATCACAATAAGCAACATACCACCTGCAAGCCTGAGGACTCAGGTGGGACTTTCTGGAGGAGTGCCAGCGATTTGGTTGCCAAGAGCCAACACTGACTTGAAGGCACCGAATAGTGGCAGGCAGTCACACTGCTGTCAGCATCACTGTGTAGATGAACTATATGCTGCCCCACACAGGCAGAACACAGTAACTACACTGACACTGAAACTGAGAAAAAGAACTTCATAGTTTTTTTTTACCGTCCACCCATAGGTGCAGTAGGCAGGTAAATGATCATGTGCGTATTCAAAACCAAACACAGTCAAACTAACGCAAAATAAAGCAGCCTAAGAGATTCGGGACCTGTATCACAAAGCTGGATTCTCGATTAACTAGATAACTTGTTGGATTTAAAGTACCCAAGTTTAAATGGACTTTACCTTCATTCACATACACTTGGCAAAAACTGTTAAATCTGGCATGTTATCTAGCTAAGCAAAAAAAAAAAAAAAAGCCTGCTTCGTCATATAGATCCCTGATTTTCTGTCATAACCAAGTTTTGAAAGAATGTTGTTGCTGTTCACTCAAAACCACGTATGTTCACTTATTGACTAGGCCTCTATGGCCAAATGCTGTGATAAATCAGAAATAGCACCACTGCCTTTGTCCTGTTTTACAGTGAGTGGGAGAAAACACACTCAGAGGAGTATGCGGCCCATTCCTAACCAGGGCCAGCGGGGTCTGGACTGCAACCAAAACGCTGAAGGTTAAAGCCCAAGGTCAGCGAAAACCAAATAGCATCCGTCCATTTTCAGCGACCGCTTTTCCATGAAGTGGTCCAGAGGCTCAGTGTGAGTGTGGTTTACGCGGTGGGCGCTAACGCTTCCAAAAGGACACACGGAGAACATACACGCTACTCACACGAACATCAGGGGACGGATTTAAACAGCAACCCCAGAAGGGAACCCAGTGACCCATCGCCGAGCATAAACACCCAGATAAATATGGCTTAATGTGTTCAGCTGAACATGCCTGGAATCGAAGCCGATAGTAAGAAACAGAACGTAGTGTAAAATATCTCACCTTAGTGTGCTAATGATGTCTTCCCGTCCTTTAATTCTGTCTAGATTTTTCTAGCCTTGCCTCTCTGCATTTAAAAGAAACTTTTATTTCATGCACAGAAGGAATGAAACAGTAACACAGACACAGACACATTATATCATTTTATGTGAAGGCAAACCTGAACCTCATCATCACACACAAAAAATGAACAATATTATAATTTCACTATGCAGGTGTTCACTTTTAAAACCTGTGTACCCTTTTGGGAATGGAGACTGTGATAAGCAGCGTCACTTTTTTAATTACGGATTTCTAAATATACCACCCTTAATTATTTACATTTCGTCATTTATTCTGGGTCGAGAAACTATTATATTGCATAAGTTATTTTCTGTCTCAATAAATATATTGCTAATTCGATAGATTTAAATAATGTTTATTTGATAAAAATATAAACTTTATCATATTATCTGTACATTAATATAAAAAATTATAGAAAAAAATCTACATGTGAATTCAGCATCAGCACTCTTTCAGAATGCTCACACTGTTGAAAATCCTTGCTGTTGTACCGTGCTGATCATCTCGACGTAGCAACACAAGATGGCTTCCTCTCTTGCCCTTCTCGGCTGCTCCTCTTCACGCCCGATTCCCACCTCTTCTGTGTCCCCATACAGTACCGGAGAGCTGGTCCCAGGAACCGTTTACACAGCCTCTGCCCGATCGCCGTGACGAATCAGCCTGTGGGTCGGCCCGGGACCATCAACTCGAGCCGCTGCCAAGTCCGTATGCCAGGGTGGACCAGTGAGGCCCATGGGATATGCAACGGCAGCCAAAGATGAGCTGAGACCCAGCGTCTCTGAAATCGGTCAAGGAGCCGGAACGGAATGTTCCCAATGTGCTCATAGGCCTACAGTACCCACCCCACCCACCCCGCGGAAAAAAAATTCATAGTTGCGAACATCGCCTGTCAGACATAATGCTTCTGCTGGGAGATGCTCTTTGTGCAGCTACTTCTGTCTCCCTTGCGAGACGACCTTTTTGAGTCAGGCTTTGATGAGAGGGTCAAGGTGGCGGGGGGACAGATCAAGTAGTTGGGCAGTGAACCTGTAGGGGAACACTGATCCATGCCCTGGTGCTGGTTTACCTTGTTCTCCATCAATATGCAGTCCTTGTACGGTTGGGAGTAGCTAATGTCACCTATAGGAATCGGCAGTTGGCACCTCTCCTGATAGGATGGGGGACACTGCGAAGCGGACATGCTGTCCAGGTTGGACGGCACCAAATCCTGGTCTCTCCTACGGAAAGCCCTCTCCAGGTAGAGGGTTATGACCCGCTGGATGACATAGAGGAGCTCCATAGCGTTCAGCAGCAAGGAGACGCCAGCGATGACCTGCATGTAGATGGTGAAGATAGTCTTCTCGGTGGGCCGGGAGACAAAGCAGTCCACCTTGTGCGGGCATGGTAGGCGTTCACATTCGAACTTGGGGAGGATGAAGAAGCCGTATAGGAAATATATCCCCAACATAAAGCCCACCTCTAAGACTATCTTTATGCAGATGCTGAGTGTATAAGCACAGAGTAGCCTGCCCTTCAGTTTAGGCTGCTCCAAGATGGCTGTATGGTCCTTAGTCACCTTTTTGACATTCACATTAACAGCCAGATGACTGCTACCCCTGTCCTTTCCTGCGACCAAATGTTGTACCTCCGCCTCCTCCAATTCCTTCTCTCTCCATCTGTTGCGAAAGGCCACGTAGCCGAAGTAGAAGACGGTCGGCGTAGAGACGAAGATGACCTGCAGCACGAAGACGCGGAAGTGTGAGATGGGGAAGGCCTTGTCGTAGCAGCCCAGCTCGCAGCCAGGCTGCGCTGTGTTGCAGATGAAGTCCGATTGCTCATCGTCCCAAGCGGACTCGGCCGCTGTGCCCAAGACCAGGATCCGGAAAAGGAAGAGCACCGTCAGCCACACCCGGCCAACGCCCGTCGAGTGCTCCTGTCCCTCCTCCAGCAAGCGCTCCAAGAAGCCCCAGTCAGCCTTGGACATCGTACGAACCTGCAGAAGCCACACCATACACAAGCAAAGGGCACAGTACTCATAATCGGTGAAACCATACCTGAACCTCAGTGTTCGACTACAACATTCATAATCTTATCAGTACATAACAGGAGAGCAAATTTCCAAAACTCAGTCCAGAGGATACATTTTCACGAAAATGTCTGTGGAGACTTGGAAACTTAAAGAAAGTTCTCCAGTGGATTACATGAGCACTGAGTGAGTTTTGGTTCCCAGTACTGTAACATATGATGAGGAAGCCTGACTTTAGGTCATTGGTGGTCTCACCTCAAACACAATGAGAAATGGACTGAGTGAGTTTGGGAAATTTTCTCTTCAGTTGCTTAAATTAGTTCATTATGATGGTGCTCTTTTCCTCATCTGTTACATTAAATAAGTAAACACTTATAAGTGTCATTTTAGGTGAAACAATTTTCTACAGTTGTAGAATAAACCATGCAATTTGGCTTTAATGTGGAAGTGTGTAAAATCATGGTAAATTTATAATACTTACTAACCCACATATACCATCCTGCTGACCTTAATGTTACAATACGACATAATTTTCGACGAGTATTAAGAATGAGTGACACTGACACTAACGGTTGCTTTTCGTATATATGCTATAGGTCTGGATATTATTTGTCTATGGCTATTTGGCCCAAGACAGTGATCTTTGTTAGTACTGTGCTGTGCTGAGCAGGCATATCTAAGCAGTCAAATCTGTCAGGAAAGACATCTCCCAAGGCAATTTTTAGAATATTTCTGTCAACATGCATTTTTTTCTCTTCCTAATGCGATCCAATCTCTTAATTTCCAGGCTACACAGGTTCTGTTTACATGCTGGAGCACACGGTATGCACAATGTATACTTTTCAAGAATTAACATCTGAATATTAAACAAATCGTTTCGAGTGCAGTTTTCGGCACAAATATTTACATCACAACAGGACACTTAACTTTGAACTGCCAGTTATGCTTTGTTATACATCCGTTCATCTGTGCTATTTCTGTAAGCTCATATCAAGCACACGGCTGTCGTGAGTCTGCAATGCACTGGGCCCCAAGATACAGGACTCTCATTGCAGGAATTACTCACAATCACATATTAAAAATAATTCAAGAGATTCTCTAAACCTAGGGGGTTCCCCAAATATCGATTTCCGCAGACTGTTTACGTCATTTTGAGAAGGCGCCGGGGGGGCATTTTACATTTTTTCATACGTGAACAGCACGTGAAGGTGTAGTATCATAAAACATTGAAAATATATTATTTGTTTCTGGAAATGAACCCCGAACGTGCCGTGGCCACAAACCGGCACCGGGCCGCGAACCCCTAAGCAGAACCATGTGGGTTTGGAGCACAGAAGCCGCAGCACGCAGGAGATCGAGGTTATACTTAATAAATACCAAAATTATACTTAAGTGTTACACTTGCCGCAATTCCTGCAGATGGACAAGTGGGATCCACGTTCAAAGTACCGATACTCTAGAAGAAGGTTTAATTAAACTGCTGTAAATAAGAATCCCAAGAACAACTTTCCTGTTTCCGTTAAGTTCTTCGGTTTATGGTTTGTATTACTATTCATTGTGTAAGACGTTTTAACCTATAAACAATTTTATATAAGAAAATGTATTTTACACAGAAGCGGAAATTAACGTGATGTAAAACGTTCGGAAACTGGCGGTTAAGCCTATTAGCGATGACTAAAACTGTTTAGTCTAAAATCTGAGATAATGCTCATGGCATCAAACGATTAATTCAATTAAGCCTAAATAACAATCAGTATACGATAAACCTATTTAAAACAGATAATCCGTTTAGGCCCAAAACAGTTTCATTTGCACAAGCCTGTTAAAAATCCAGTTTGTCCTACCTCTTTACATTTAAGAATACTGTATCTTGAACCATGATGTAACATATTGTTACTGCGTTTGAAACTGATAATACCTTAATCTGTATTATAATGACTACAGAATCAGTTACCATCGTTACGTAATTTACAGAATAAAGAGTAATGCTTAGAGGTTGGCTAATAGTAGCATATCAGTGGCAGTAATAATAATAATAATAATAATAATAATAATAATAATAATAATAGTACCTACCCTCCACTGAAAGTTTTGGTTGTAGGCTACCCTCGTACGCTGGGACTCCCGTTGAAAGCCGGCTTTCTGATGCACTAGCCTTAAGACTGCTGATGGCTTGGGATATTTTTTCAACAGAACTTTTTTTTTTCCTTTTCCCCTGGAACTCCCGCAGGAAATACAGTCAGGAAAAGGGATAGATAACGTCACAAATTCCCCCCCCACCCCCCCTCTTTCCAAAGAGTAAACGTCGTCGCAGTTATCGGAAAATTACTGTAAAGGGCTTGGTAACATATACTTATGTTAGAAAGTCACCTGTTGAAATTAATTTAGTAACTTAATTTCAATTTTCCCGTGCGATTATATTTAGTTCTTTGTTATGAAATAAATCTTTTTGGGTTTTTTTGCTCATTTTATCACTTACAGCTACCGCATCAAAATTAGCCTTACCGTCGTTTTCACGTGTCCTCTACTCTCCGCACCGCACACCATGTTTACCTTAAAAACCACTGTAAAAAATAATTAAAAAGTGAGGAAACGGGGACACAGGGCAGTGTACAGGTGAGGAAGAAGCTCCGTTTCCTCTTTCCTGCTGATTTCCAACTAAGGGTCAGTCACCCAGCAATAAACTGGACTGACTAAAATTTCAAAGTGTCAAGAGAAACACTGACACATTGGACACTGAAATCCAACCCGAAGGTTTTTCTATAGGTGTTATTAGGATCATGAAGGACACTTCCAGAAAGTGGCATATGCTTTTCAACAAATTGGCATTGTCTACCCCACATATTACCTGCTCCAGAGTCACCTACTACTTTTTACTGCATCCACGGGTCTCGCTTTACCTGCTTCCTGTTAACGGAAGGGCTGCTGTTTGGGCGTATTTATAAACTGTCCCTGCAGATACAATCCCCTTGCCTCCAAAGCAAAAGCCATGGATCGCCACGGTCGTGTACAAGGAAATGAAGGCTGACCCTGTTGCTTTCTTGTCCAGAGACACAGCCATTCCAGTAAAGGCAGGTATGATCTCGGAGAAGGCAATAAAATATAAGAAAACTCAATATCATGCCAAAGTGAAATCTCACACAGTGGCATCCAGGATGCCCGACAGTTATTGCAGGGTATTTGTATTCTAATAAATGACAAATAAAAATTCAATCCGATCTCACCTGCGGGGTCCTCCTCTGCTGTGAGCTGCCAAATCAGCCCACAACTTTGTTTTCTCTGTTTCTGCAGATAACGTGACCACCATCATCCAGGGACGGATTACGGACCGGGCCAGCGGGGCCGCTGCCCAGGGGTCCTTGGGGTGCAGGGGGCCCGTGGGGCCCCTAGCCCAAAACAATTTGCAATGCTTATCAACAATGTATTTTCGTTTGTCTATTTTAGAGGGCCTACATTCTTTGATCCTCTGCCTACAAGGGCCCCTGACCCTATAGGGCCTCTGGTGGAAACATGGAGGGAGGGCGTTTGGCTGCGAAGGGCTCTTGAATTGTGGTGGTTGTGGTGGTGGTGCTGGGCCTCGCGAACGTTTTGCCCAGGGGCCCACACAACCCATAATCCATCCCAGCCATCATCAATTTCTCTAACAGCACCTCCCACCATAGACCCACCAGTATTTTGGTGATCAAGCATTGATCTGTTTATTGACTCCAGGTAGAGACCTGGCAGTGCACAGTACAGTGCACAGTACAGTGCACAGTACCCACTGCATCACTGGGGATGGTATGGAAAGCCTCAGCTCACTAGGAGTCACCATCACTGACAACCTCACTGGACCAGCACACCCCAAGCAGACAGCTCCGAGCCCATCTTTACCTCCTCAAACATCTAAGGAAGGTCCAGATGCCAGCAGCAGTGCTAGCTTATTTGGACAGATGCAATATGGAGGCTGCGCTCACTAGCACGCAGTATTACGGCACACTATCAGAAACAGGGTAACAGATTTGCTACAGTTTCGCTCCCCGATTAAGGTACAAATAACATTAACAAACCCCCAATTGTACAAAAATGTTTCTCAGATTCCATTTCTGTACATACAGCTAGGGTATAATTTGCAGACCCTTGAGGGTACAGCCCCATTAACAAGTAATTGTACCTCAAAGGTACAGTTTTTTTCTGGCAATGTACAGCACATTAAACATTCAGATTACATCAGTCTGGAGCAATATACTGTGCATCTGCTGGTGTGTTCCAAACTAAATCGCATTGTGCTTACAATGACAAGAAAAGCATCCATCCATCCATCCATCCATCCATCCATCTATCTATCTATCTATCTATCTATCTATCTATCATTAATTTTCCAGCTTCTACCTTCAATATATATTTTGTAGTTGTGTATGCTGTTTGTCTGCAGTTTGTTTGTCATTTTTTATTATTATTATTACTATTATTATTACAGTAATGTAATACTGGCGATGTGGTCTTCTGGAAACACGTTAAAATTTCGTCGTAAAGTGTGCAGTTGTTCGTTAGAACTTTTATAACTAACCTTATACTTGATTATACAATGCGCTTTCCCGAAATACCACCAGGTGTCAGCAGTGTCCTTTTTTTGATATGGCTACCAATGAACGAATCTTACGATAGAATAACGATTTCAGAAGAAACAATAACAGCAGATCCTTAACGAGAAAGAACTCTTCTTTTAATTTAATTTATTATCAATTTCTCCATTAGGAAAAATAAAAATAATAAGTATCTCCACTATGAAAATATACTGTATTAACCCCATCCATATATACATACATATTATTCTGGGTCCTGGAGGCTACGGACGCAAGGCATAAAACAACCCAAGGTGTGGCCCCAACCCATCGCAGAGCACACTCACACATGCACACTCACACACCATTCACTCACACATGCACACCCACACACCATTCACTCACACATGCACACCCACACACCATTCACTCACACATGCACACTCACACATGCAAACTCACACACCACCCGCTCACACATCATTCACTCACACATGCACACCTATGGGCAATATTCTAATATTATTGTTATGCCAGAATTATAACAGGATAGTGTTATAAGATAACAGCATAATCTTTTTGTTGCACTGATGTTCCATTCCATAGAACCTGGGATTTTATAAAATATATTTCAATATATTCCATGGAATTATAGTGTCTGCATGTAAAAAACACTGTATTTTTCTTTATCTCAAACTTATAGAATGCAGCTTGTTCCTTTTCATAGTCATTATTAAACTGGACACATTCTACCTTTTCTCTGGCCTATTGTCCACTATGCCTGAACCACCACAGTACCTTTGTTGTGATTGTGTTGATTCAGAACAATTTGGCGAGGGAAAAAAATCAGAAATTATACAGAAAAAAAGCAGCTTTCCATTAATTGGATACTCACAAGTTCTTGCAAACGTTTTGGGGCCTTGGAACCCAGTTTGTTTACACATCGATTGTGGGCGAGAACCTTCAGAGGGCTGATATCGATCCCTGTCGCTGGCCATTCACACGCATTGATCTCCATCTTCCAGCCATTCTTGATTCCTTGGAGTATGGAGCAGTGTTTGGGCCCAATGATATTTAAAAAATAAAATAAAAAACCAAGGATCTGAGGTCTATCCACTACATCTTAAATTCTGGTTTTGTGGCAGTTCTCCATCCTGCTGGGGAAGTGCTTACGATAAGCACAGAATGTGAAGGTGCACAGAAGGGCCAGGCATCTTAGATGTGCTGTGAAATGGCCACACAGTTGTGCGACATGGATGTACAGTCAGAGGTACCCATTGGCTGCCAATAGAGCAGCGGTGGCCTAATGGTTAGGGGACTGTGTTTATGATTAGAGGGTTGTTGGTTTGAATCCCCAAAGCACTTGTCCTTAGGTGCTAAATAATAGCTGCCCACTGCCCTTTCGCATACAGCTTAAATGCAATGGACACATTATGTTGTTGTGCTCTGTGGCGTGTCAACGACGACAATTAATTGCTTTCACTTCGCATTTGCAATTCCGGGCAGAAAGGGGCATTCATATCGGACTTAAACCACAAACTAACAGAAGCAATTCACAAACTAAATGTTTAAAGACCCAGAAATAAGTACAGCGCCAATATAAGCTGGTGGGAATATTCCTTTTGAGGGTGTGATGCTCTACCACAATGGGCAGGTGCAAACCCTTCAGTGAGATTGCAGGCCACGATAAATATATACCAAGCATGCCCCTCTCTGCCTTGCCTGAATGCTCCTGGATGCTGAATGGTAAGTGGCTTTAATACCAGCACTGAGATATACAGTAAATAACATTTGAATAATGTGCTCCTTTCAAGTGTTTCGGCATAACACAATCCTATACCTTAATAGCTCTAAATACAGGTTACACAGAGTAGGCTACTGATCTTTATGTAACTACACTTCAGTCAGCATAGAGCAGGGTCTTGAATGAGATGGTCATTAAAACGTTCGGTTAACTAGGGTTATAGCAATTAGTTGTGTGCAAGATACTACTTTCTGACAACGTTGTTCTGCTGAAATTACGGACCTGCCGTTTGAAACACATCGGACTCCGTCGATGTCCCTGTTTAAACAATCGCAGCTGACACTGGATTATGACTTATGAGGGCGGATGAGCTGCCTGAGGTGTTCAAACAAATTGGGATGGATGCTTCTCCGTGAGGTTTTTCGCAGTTTCACGGGGGGGGGTGTACCTTTTCATCGGTTCGCAAAGGCTGCTGTGTGCATGTGAACGTCGCACAGCTAATACATAAAAATGACCCAATAGCTCGTCCGCAGCGTTTTCATTACTGACCGCCGTGCGATCCATTTCACTGTTATTACACAAGCCCAGTTCCTTACAGGCGATACTTATACCTGTCAAGCTGTCCAACTGAACGGGACCCTTTCATTCTGCACTACCGGGGCCCTGTGATCTGGAGCAGCGTGAGTCAGTCACGGGTGTCGAAAGCACTGTTTGAGATTGACAACAGGTATCCCTCCTGGAAGAAGGAAACCGAGTCAAGTTTAGTACATAAGCGACGACCCACGCTGACGTTAGTCGCTAGGATTGCCTTTGCCGTGTCCCACTACACCCCATAGCATACCCGCTTAGCGGAGCGTCAGTCTGCGGCGGGCGGGGGGGTGGCTCGGGCAGCACGCGGCTGATCGCGGGGGATTCTGGGAAGGCAGCCTTCTGCGCCGCTTCTCTCCCCGGCGCTCAGCTCCTTGCAAACCATCGCCCGTTAATGATGCTCAGCTGGTCCAGCATTGTGCAGAAGGAGTGCTTGGGAAGCCTGATGCTGCTGGCAAACACGCCAGCCAATATTTGGAATCACCACAAAAAATATACAGTTTTCATGTGGAAATGACGCTATATTCTGTAAACTGAACAATATTGAGCTTTTTTATATTTAATTATCAGTTATTTTTAGAGAAACGATAAAAGACATTTAAAACTGCTGCCAAAGTGTTTATTTACAGTGGATACAGAAGACTGTTCTATACCCCCCCCCCCCCTTGCAAATGGCTGAGTCACGTATCTCTGTTTATATAGCATTTTCCCCATAGTTACTCTTGGCTGTTCCAGTTTAAAGGACACCGTGAGGAGGGAGGGGCTAAGCCTCTCATGGGTGAGGCTCAGAAGACCGCGGGGGTTAATTCTGGTCAGCTGTCCATCCATTCCTGCGGGTGCAGGAGATGGTATATTTGTTTTTATTTTGCCCCTAGTAACCTAGCACAGTATTACAGCATGTCCTAAAACCCGTAGCTGCAGGAGGCCTATGTTTACCTCAGCAAAGGGAAATAAATTTTGTTTGTATCCATACTGCCAACCCTCATATCTCGCTTGTTTTAGAGTAGTGCTTGTTCAGTTCCTGCCCTATGTAAACCTCCGCTCCCCTGGTTACATGGGTCAGCATGCTTGTTTCTCATAAGCACCATTTCAGTGCTACTTACACTCGTGGGAGTTTTACTTACACCACAATGTACTGAGGCCATAATGAAAAATTACTGGTTCAGAGAAATAACCAATCAGATTGTTGAGGAGGTGGGCCCAACCACTCAGATGTCTTGGTTCTGCCTCCTCTAGTTGCTTAGACCAACCTCCTTTACAATCTGATTGGTTATCTCTCTGAACCAATTATTTTTCTTCCTGCCCTCAAAACTCCCACGAGTATCGCTTACATCACTATTTGAATTTACATTTCTTAAAGAAGTAAAGCTTCTTTTTGTGTATACTCTTGTTTTAATGCAGTTTTGCTTTGATCAACATATGGAAGCACAGTTTGCACTGCAGACTCCACAAGCGTTTACATAAACAGGTCCCTGCCTTAGGTCTTGACTGCCTGGTCATTGACTTCCA